TTGTTTAAAGACTGAGGCTCTCTGACCTTCTTTTTCTAACTTTCCATGCCCCACCAGCACATATCTGACACGTGTGCTTCACAACTTAAAGAGTTTTCATAGCAAAGATAAAGACATTAAGTGGACAACGATTCTGACAGTCCTATGATCTGGGTGACATGGCAGGAAAGACTGAGTTAGAGAATATAACAAAAGATGACAAAGTAAAGCCAGTGCTACAATTTCTCTGCTATGTGAGATTTAGGGTATGGGTATGTTTGGTGCCCAGCATCAGTTGCAATAAAAATTTTGACAAGATATGTTGCATTTCTCATGAATAACAAACTCAGTGACTTCCTAAGAGTGAAATTCCAATCAGACTCAGGTGTGAAATGAATCTTGATACTAGCCACATTACCTATTCATTTTTATATATATTCACTTTATTCAACTTACCTTTCCTACTCAACCAGACTCTTCCTCACCATTCCCAAATAGGTTAAAATCTATATAGTTCAGGTAATCCCAAAGAAATGTGCCCTTGATTTTCACTTGGGAAGCTGCTTCCAACCCTTTTTTATTGTTGCATTCTCATTTTCATATCAAATGATATTCTTCTCATACAACTTTTTAAAAATCACATTCTAGATCTGCTTTTATTTATACCTTTAGAACGAGTTTTCTTTCTCACTGAATTATTAACAGCTACATTCAAACTTGCTCTCAAAACTAGGTCTTAATCTTTTCCTTTTTAAATCACTGCAGCTCCTTGCTGGAGTTGCTCTCCCATGAGCTGCATGCAGTATACCCACATTTCTACTTAATCAATATATGTAAGACTTTTTTTTTTTTTTTTTTTTTTAAATAACCAGACCCCTAACCAAGTGAAACTGCTGTAGGATTCATCAACAAACAGCCTCAGAAGACAAGACAATTAAAGCAGACTTGGAACCTGCTTCACTTTAATGAATGGAGAAAATATGTAGTTGTAGCTGTCTTTAAGAGCCCAGATTTGCAAACAATTTCTAAGTAGATCTAAAAAATGAAGAAAATAGGCCTAGCTGCAATACTTTGTGGGTGAATCTATTCTTTCATAAATTTATTATCACATCCTCTCTTCCAAGGGTTAAGCTGGAATAAAACTGTATGAATCTGCCAATTTTCACTTTGAGATTTTCAGTGTCATTTCACAAAACTCCACACCTTGAAAGCCACAAAACTCCAGGATGCATAAGCAATTTCAACCAAAATTGCAAGAGCAGCACAAAAATATTTACATGACATCACAACACTGACTGTGTGTGTACATCCAGCAATTTAATTCAAAGCACTCAGGCTGCTCAGTTCTCTTTCCGAACACCAGTGTGCCCATCCATTCTACACAGCAGGTTCTGCCTCATTCACAGGCATTACACCTCAAAGGGAATTCACGTCTTCAAAGCCACAGCACTTCAAGCCCCAAAAATTAATTATCTGCAGGGCACAACCCAACACCTTCAGTGAACTAAATTGTATTTGTGAACCAAATTCTATTTGAGTATCTCGTAAGATGCCTTTGCACGCACTTGTTATTAAGTATTTCACTATAAACAAAATGTCTAGTTTGAAAGTTACATCTAGAAATTATTCAGACTACATTAAAATAACTGTATTCAAAACAAAAATGAACTTTTGAAGACATACCAAGTTCTCACCTTGGTTACTCCAAAATATACAATATTCAGAGAATCACAGAATGGCCAGGGTTGGAAGGGACCTCAAGGATCATGAATCTCCAACCCCCCTGCCACATGCAGGGCCACCAACCTCCCCATTTAATACTAGACCAGGCTGCCCAGGGCCCCATCCAACCTGGCCTTGAACACCTCCAGGGACGGGGCATCCACAACCTCTCTGGGCAGCCTGTTCCAGCAACTCACCACTCTCTCTGTAAAGAACTTCCCCCTGACATCCAACCTAAATCCCCCCCCCCCCCCCCCAACTTAAAACCATTTCCTCTTGTCCTGCTGTTATCTACCCTTTCAAAGAGTTGATTCCCCTCCTGTTTGTAGGCTCCCTTTAGGTACTGAAAGGCTGCAACGAGGTCACTTCGCAGCCTTCTTTGCTCCAGGTTGAACAAGCCCAGCTCCCTCAGCCTGTCTTCATAGGGAGGTGCTCCAGTCTCCTGACCATCTTCGTGTCTCTCCTCTGGACCCTCTTCAACAGCTCCCTGTCTTTTTTGTACTGGGGGCTCCACACTTGGACGCAGTATTCCAGATGGGGCCTCACAAGAGCACTCAATTCCATCATCAATGTCATTGATAAATATGTTAAAGTGCACTGGTCCCAAGACAAACCCCTGGGGGGCGCCGTTCGTTACTAGGCAGTTTGAATCCCACTTTTTCACAGGACAGGAGTTATCTTCATTTATTAGAAAGCAGTTTATTGCAAATCATGAAAATATTACTAACACTTCATATTAGGATACTTCGCTACTCATTTAGATTAATCTATACTTCAATAAATTCTTGTTCAATACCCAACTTTTCCAAAGAGAAAAATTTGGCTCCCTGTATTCAAAAACAGCCTATTTTAGAATGCCACTGATAGTTAACAAGCACACCATGCAGTAACAACCACATCCTGCAGACCAGACATGGATTTACAGAAGAAAGGAAAGCTAATGGCTGTTAGCACCTGGCTGCCACCTTTGCTTGCTTAAAGCAGTATTAGTACCTCCTGTAGGTCGTTGCACCAAAAAGCAGGTGACAGAAGAGAGATTGCAGCATTTGAAAAGCCAGGAAATGTGTTCTCATTCTCACCTGCAGCCTTATGTTGCAGTCATTTCAGCCTTACAACTCAGTGAAGGGGAGGGTTCAGATTTTCCCTTTTCACTCCAAATGCTCGGATACAGTTGATGTGAAACTCCAGTAAGGCAGAGAATGCTCCGTGCAAATATCAGGTTCCATCAGAATTAACTTACTGGTTACACACACATCACTGTTTTCTAATAGGTATAAGATGAATAATGAATACTGAATAAATGACTGAAATATGCATAAATACACCAAGAGGAACAGGTGGTGCCAAAAGCCCAGCTTCCCCAACCTTGTTGTTTCAGCAGGATTACTTCAGACTAAACGCAGCCTGGACTGAAAATGCATTATTGTTTGTAGTCACCATGTATGCTCCCAGAGCACATCTTTCAGTTCAGTTTTGTCTGCAAGGAATTTAGTTTCCATGCTCAATAAAGCAAGACAAAACACGCTACATGAATATGATATTTAGCACAGAAGCTTATGTCTAATTGAACTGAAATCCTAATGTAGATCTATTCACTAAAGTCATGGTGGGATGTTCCACTCAGCAACTGTAGTAGGAGAGCAGTTTCTGTGTCTATGAATTTCAGTTCTTTGCTTTTTTAATTGTTCTGTTTACTCAATTGATAAAAATTGTTAGTATGCCATTATTCACTTACAGGTGGTCGAGAATTCAGAACAGCTGCCTAAAAGCACTACAGACAAGCATTTGCAGATCAAGACAAGAAGCACACTAGTTCCAAAGTCCTACGGAAGGACCATAGGCATCAAAAGAGGACAGTGTTTCTACTTCTCCTGTAGTTACCTTTGGGCAATTTGAATTGCTTGCTTCTGGGGAGCTGTTACTTGTTTCAAGAACAGAATATCAACTTCTTTTTTTTTTTTTTCCCCCATCTTATTCTCTTCTGCCTAAAGTAATGCCCTTTTCTGCTCATGCTGTTCACTTTCAGCATTTGCTGAATACAGTGTTCTGATTCAGATGCAGCTCATGGCCAAGTATGTGCAACACAAAACACTGCTGATACTCTATCAGCACATCAATGAGAAAACTACATGTCAAAAACAGCCTGAGGTATCTGACTTCTACAGAATGCTAACAGTAGTATCCAGTATTCTGCTCGTTTTTTACAGACAGTTAAAAACTGAGAACAGAGAAAAGATCTTCACATATCAATGTTGTATTTTTACATAAGCGCAGAAGGAAAGGTTTTAAATTTTATTTGTAATAGTTATGAATGTTGTCCTGGGCACTCATTTTAAGAGAAGGGCTCTTTGGTCCATTGGCTCTATAGTTCTAAATGTATAGGACCACACCTCAATGATAAGCAATGGCTGTTATAGCAAATGCCCATTAAAATTAAGGTTTGGGAGTGAGTAACAAAATCTATATCTAGCCAAACAAATTAAGAAAATAGATAAATCATAGAAATCTGGCAATTCAGTTCCTTGATGGAACTTTTGTTCAGATGCTCCCCTGTCAGGGGTTTTTTTGTGCTAATTTCAAAAAGCTGCCGCAGAAGCTACTTGCAAAGGAGTTGCTAAAGCCATTGCACCACTTCTTTTCTTACATCCCTCCCACATAACAGTATGGGGATTCTTGGGGACTTCTAAAACTTGAGAGATCCTCACTGAAAGCTTTGGTTCGCTTTCAAGAAGAAAAATGTAAAATTCCTCAGCAAGCAGCTGCACCAGAGATTCAAACAGTGCAAGGAAACTGGAAACTGAACCCAAAACTGAGGCAATGTGTTTCAAAGGCAGACAAACAGCAGATCAGATCCAGAGAGCTGACCCACTGAGATTAGGACCACGATGGCTTTAGCCAGGCTTCTGTCACTAATACCAGAAATAATTATCGCAGATGTTTGCTAAAAAATGGAAAGGTAATGTTCAAAGTAACTTGGGTGAAATTCTGTGGCCCACGTAATAGTGGGCATAACATGCCACACATAATAGTGATAACAGTCTTAACTGATTTTGAAATTCATTAGTTTATATGCATTTTAACCTCAGAGACAATTTGTTTTATCTCCCGAGGTTCATTCCTTATTCATTGCAGTGGCAAGCTACAGCATACTGCACGTCTGTCTACATTACTCCTTTTATCACTTTACATTCATCAAGTAAAATTGTATTTGTCTTGAATAAAGGTAAACAGAACAGGCAGGCTTCTGCTATGAAACTTTTAGCTACTTAAAAAGAAAACAATTAACATATACTAAGTACCTTCCTTATCATCATGATGTGTAATAGCATCCTGTATCATATCGGCAAGGTTGAAACGAACTCGATGATTCTTTCCATGTTTCAGTTTTTTCACGTAACCCTCCCGCTTCTGGAAAGCCTTTTCTCGTTCATAATAAGCCTTTATTTGATCACACCGCATCCGCTTCACCAGCCGTTGCCGCTGGCCGAGAGGGAGGGACTCAAGCAAGCACTGGTCAATTTCCATCTCATGTGACCGAAAAACATTACATAGTTGGAAACAGCCTGCAAGATACAGAAAACAAACACATGCAATGGTGAGCATGTCGAGAAACTTCCACCAGATTTCTTTCTAACCACCTGTTATGTCAGTTTGTCAAATGGACTCCTCCCACTTTACAGCCTCATTTAACTTATCTTGCTTTGGGTTAGCAAATAGCTGTTATTCAGTGAGAAGAAAAATCATCCTATCTTAATTATAATGAGCACAGCAGCATGCAGTGAGTCTTCAGGCAACTACCTATTAAAAACATCAAAACCACTTTGGATTCCAAATTATGTGAATAATAGAGGGATTTTGGTGGTACAGTGATGGTATCCGGTAGCTTTTTTTTGTCACTGCAAAGAGCAATTCCAATTCCAAAATGAAGGTTCCAAAAAAGATTCCAAATGGAATCTTCTAACGAAATTGTAAGGTACTGGAACCTTCATCTAGAAACAGATTATAAATGTATATTAAATTCAGTAAATTGTAACATTCAAAGCATCACCTTTAAGTCAGACTATGCTCATCAAATACTAGGGGATCGTCAGATAACTGTACTGTCTGACTCCTTGGATGTGAATCCACATCTAATATATCAGTGAGGAAGTCATTAACACACCCTAAAACAGCTCAAAGAGGTGGCTGGAGGACACTCCACCATTTCTGATTCTAATGTTCTACATTATGTACATACTAAACTTTTCTTCAAATGGCAGGTAGGTGCCTAAATTTCTCATTTCTAAGAACTATGAGCAGCCCATATGAGAAAGGTTTTCCCCCCTAATTGATGGAAGAGCTCTTGAAGTGAACATTGGCTTTTGTCTGCCCATTTTGTTAAATATTTAGTTAAATCATCAACGGACTCCTACCTCACACTTGCACTAGCTCACAACCTGGTTGGTGCTGACTAAAGAACCATTTTATTTTCTCCTTGTTGCTTGACATAAACTTTACCTATATTCAAACTCTCTTCTGAAAGCAAAACTAATAATTTCTGGCAGGCTTTTCTAAGTCTCACATCATCGCAGCACACAAACACTTCAAAAATGCATATTTTCTTAAAAAACTGAGGGATAAAGGTGTGTTATTACACATCTTCTCTACTGAACAACTGAAACATAAGTGTTTTCTTTTTAAATCACTGATTTTGGATGTGCAATGCAAGATATCTATGTTCTTTAAGTTTTGTTTTGCTTTGAAGACATAGAGCTGTATATAATGTGTTATCACAGTGTTATGTGATAGTATCAAATCCCAGACAGAGCCCAAAGTTTCTTGCTGAGAAACTCCAAGACACAAGCAGCCATAGAAAATAATTTTACAGATCAATTTCAGTCAATTGATTTTTACAATAAGCTACTCTTTCCCTTCCTATAATTTCTGTTCTTTTCTTAGCACACTCTTCTAGCTACAAAGAAATGATTTGTCAAAATAAAAGACTGGAAACAAATACTGACTTGTATTAAGCCAAAATCCACTTTTTGTACATCAGAAGTCAAGAATTCCTTCTGTATAAGTTGAGCTAGAAAGTTTTGTTTTAAATGATATGTTTCATTTCTGAGCATGTCAGACACAACAAGGAATCAAAGGGTAACCCGTCAAGTTGCAGAAGATGAAACTTCATTCCCAGCTTCACCACATGAGAGGAAAGCATTCAATGAAGACCTGTACTCAGAGTGGTTCAGTCTGAGCCAATTTGTGACCGCATCTCCTTTCTATCACATTTAAGGGAAACTGAATCAGTGAACTACAAATCTTCTCATTCACAATTGTTCTACTTTGTATAAAATATTTCAGTACCCATGCGTTAAGCTCCCACAGTATTTTTGGCTAGTAAAACTCTATGTTTATCCCTTAATGGTTTGGGTATACTTCCTACCAGCCAAGCTTGCAGCCTCAGAAAGAAAACCAGCATGCTGTGTTAAGCCATGTTTGGCAACGCAAATTGAATGGCTGGGGAAAGTTAAGAGAAGGATCTTGTAAATGCCTTTCAGCTGCTCATTGCTACTTCATTGTGTTGGATTTAGGAGGCAAATTTTGGCAGCAGAGGGGCTGCAGGGTGTGACCTTGGTGAGTAGAGCCCAGTATCTACCCCATGTGAAAAGAACATCCCTCCAGGCACCAGGGTCAGTGCAGAAGGATGGCAGAGGTACTTTGAGTGTGGAGCAGCAGTTCCTTGCAGCCCATGGGCACCTCAGAGAGCAGTTCTCCATAGTACAGTCATGAATGAGGCCTGAAAGTGGTTCAGCCCATCGAGAGCCGGGGGCTGGAGTTGCAATCCTAGAGAGGGGCCTTGCAATGGGGCGGGAGGGCTGGAAGAGCTGCCCCCTGGGGGGATCCTTGTGGAGTAATGCCTTAAGGGTGGGCCACATGGTATGAAGCTGTCTTGGGGCAGTGCTGGGAGAGTTGAAGCCTGTGGGAAGCCCATAGGGATCCATTCAAGAAGGAAGGCACTGTGGGAGGGATCCATGTGGAGCAAGGGCAGAGAGTGGACGTAGACAGAAACAGTGTTATGGACTGATAGCAGCCTCCATTCCCCATTCCTCTACACTGCTTGGGGAGAGGAAGTAGAAAAGAGTGGAGAAAGTGTTTTTATTTTGCTTTTAGTTTCCCTCTGCTCTGATCTGTTAGGAATACACAGTAAATCATTATAACCACCCTGTGCTGTGTCTGCTCTGCCCATGCTGGTAACTGGTGAGTGATCTCCCTATCCTTATCTCAACCTTTGAGACCTTTTCCATTACATTTTCTCCCTCCATTTATGGAGTGGGAGTGAGAGAGAGAATATATGGTGGAATTTAGCTATCCATCAGAGTAAAACTACCATGTTCATGACCGCAACAGGAACTTGACTGCAGGAGTTTCCTCCTTCCACTCTGATGCATCATGAAGCAGCAGCTGACAATACAAAAGCATTAACCAAGAGATCACAATTCTGATATCCAACCTTTGCACTTTGGCTTGGTGACCATGCATGGTACTTCAGGTCTTAGCTGGAAAAAGGCAACCGACAGCACAGGAAACCAAGTGAGCCTAACACCCAGCCATACAAGAGATTTAGCTCTGTTCTTTTCCTTCCTTCTTTTTTTCCAAAAAGAAGCAGCAGTACTCATGGTTGGGCTCAAGGAAGCTACAGCTGAAATTGCTATGCCTGGAAAAAATCAAAAGTGTATTGCTGTTGTTACAGACCTAGCTGTTAGCTGATAGCAGGGTTAAACCAACTCTTTGCTTGCTTTTCCTCCCTTTAGCTTGTGTATAGCTTCTGCTTTTAAGAGGAACTGATTACTGCCTGCATCACAACTGAGACTGGTACAAGCACAACACCTTTCCTGCCATACTGCTCTGCTCCTCCAGTGCTGGAAATCAAACTAATTAGCTTAATGTCTCGGTCAAATAGAGTACAGAAATAAGATGAGCTCCTGTACCCAGCTTCCAGTTTCAGGAAGAATGGGGCTGTCTTAATGTCCTCTGCATCTCCACCAAGGTGACCTTCAGCCTGCGTGAGTGGCAGTCTATTTGCTCAATGAAAAGTTGGGTTGAACTGCTGGGCTGAGCCAGTACTGGCCTCACACAATAGCTTCCAGTGCACAACCACAATCAAACAGCTGAGGTAGATTGATAAGAGCATTTTCCATCCACCTGAGTGCTAGTCTCAACTAAGTGATGAGCTGTAGATGGGTTTCTTTCTCTCTCCTCATCAGACCAGCAAGTGACTTGGATATAACAGTGGCAGGGCAGCAGTCCTGGTAGGTAAAGCCTGGATTAAACAACACAGTTGCAGACAAGGCAAACTTTCTGAATTCATTATTTGAACACCCACCTGTACATCATGCAATGTCCAGTGCCCATTTTATAACTAGTTAAATCTCTACCCTGATTCTGGTGGCCAAATGAGCATGGGGAGCTTCTCGCAGCACAACAGGCACAGATTCCTGGCTACACCAAGAGCTGAATTCAAAATCAGGAGAGTTATGGACATGCTTCTGGAGGAAGCCATAGTGCCACTTAAAGCACGGTGTTAATAACCAACATTGGATCATGCAATCGTGACCTTTCCAGAAGTTCTGAAAACATCCATCAATAGCTTCTGTGAGTTTCCTGGATTACATGTTCCAGTGTTGCACTACCCTCTATCAAAAATGTAATTTTTGTGGGATTTTTTGTTTGTTTGTTTGTTTTTAATCAGGGCCATTGCAACTTGTTAACACTGTCAGTAACAAGAAGAGCAGTCATTTCTGTTTTCTTGGTAGCCACCTGCTGCCCTCACTCCAGTCTGTCAAAGATCATCTCACACTTGGGTGAGACTTATGACATATTGCAAGTGCAGCTTCACTAGCCCCCAGTAGAAAGGGAAAATTATTTCCCTCAATCTGCTAGTTTCCATCTATTTAACATACCCCAGCATGTGGTTTGCCTTATTTGCAACCCAAGTGCAGGACTGGCTCCCAGTCAACTCTATTTGCTATAACCCTTGCATCCTCTTCAGCAGAGCTGCAACTCAAATCAGTTGGCTCCCAGCCCACACCAATTCACAGGGTTATTCTGCCCTTGGGTATCAAAATACGTACTTCCCTTGTTGAATGGCTCAAAGTTTGTTGTTCCAATAATCAGGATTAAGCTCTATCATTCAAATTATGCCAACCACTCTGCCCTAATTTAACAGTGCCAGTAGAAGCAATGGCTTCAGTTGTATAAAAGGCCTCTAGGAAAAAATAACCGCTAAAATCCACAATTTTACTAGGCAGATATAAACTGCTTACGGACTGACAACTTGCCTTGTTTGTAGGCGAGAAGCTATTAGGGCTTCCTAAAGGCACCATGTGCAGCATGTCTGTCCATCCTCTTCTCTTCCATATACAAGAAAAGCAGTACAAGCTAATAGACTAAACTCACACAAGAAGCTCATATGGGACCCGTTCAAGTTGGACAAGATTTTTGTAAAGCATAATCTCAAACAGAGCTCTTTCTGAATGCTAGTGAGGACGTGGTGTGGTAATGTGAGGAAAAGGTTGCAGGTAAA